GCTGGCAAATGCCCCCGCCTGCTCCCACATAACCCGTTCTCCGGCTTCCTCCTCGGAGTAGGAAGCCAGGATAATCCTCTGGGCATGCGCAGAGCACTAGGCTCCACCCAACCGCTACGGTGGCCGGTAGGAGCCAGAAATGGATCCGCGTTTCCGGGGCGCTGCTGTCGCTCCACACTGTGGGAAGCAATGAGGGATCGAATTCACGAGGCAAAGCGCTGCCCTGTTTGTTTGTTTGTTTGTTTGTTTGTTTGTTTGTTTGTTTGTTTGTTTGTTTGTTTGTTTTAATTTCACTGCAGTGGACCTGCCAAGGCAGATACACATTTTACTGTTACAGTCCCGAGAACCAGCTCAGGGTCGTATTCACTCCGGATTCTGCCAGACGTCTGACTCTGCTTATGCTCTCCCTTTTATCTACAATAAACTTTCTCTTCCACCATATAGAGGGGCACTTGTGTCCTTTTTTATTTTTATTTTTTATTTTTATTCCTCGAGGGAAAAAATTTGGTTTTCTCCATGAACCATGCAGCTAAAACAACACACTACTGTCAGGCTTTGAATCGATTTCCAGTTTTTCTCGTTTCCTAATTCGTGGTTCTCACATCACTAATGCCAAATTCCGCCTGTGTCTGACGTCGGAGCTCAGGAGCGGCCGTACAAGGACAAGAGCTGCCTCCCTGGACCGGCAAGTGGGGCCTCCTTAACAACAGTAACCAGTGGCTTCACAACATCACAGGCGACATTCGGGAGATCCGGGCGAACTGAACAGAAAGTAACTGGCCACAAACTATCCCAGAACTGTTGGTGTTGTGAAATACGGTTTCTGTACGTTAAACAGCCCTAAAAGCAATTAACGCCCAAGCGTCTCACCAATGCAGCAAAGTTTCATTTCCAAGGAAATAATCCCAGGAATTTTCACCCCCGCCCCCCTTAATTGCTGCAATCTCATTGGTGGAATAGGGCAGGTCGTGGCCACATTTTCAGTGGAAGGCAGATTTCCTGTGATGCAGGGCATACGTTTATATTTCCATCCATCTTGAGAATCTATCATGGTTACCGAGTGACAGTAGCAGTCCAGCAAAACTACCTATAGGCTAATTTTATTCCCAGCCACCGAGCACATTTGAGAGGCCTGTAGTCCAAGCACGTATGCTTCTGTGCCAGGAATCATGCATGGCTCTGAAATTGCGTCTTGTTTCTGCACAGTGAAAACGCTACGAACACAGAACCTGAGATAATTTTTTGCAAAAGCCTTTTCCTGCAGCCTTAGACGCTTTAGGAATGGGGAGGCGCTTGTCTCCTGGAAGGTTTACACCCGCGCATGTCCGGGCAGCAACCCATTGCTCCAAGTTCGGCCCAACGACGACACCCAGCGGCGCGGAGAGGAACGTACTCAGGTACAACCCTAGACCCGAGAGGTCCTGCTGCGCAGGCGCCGTGAGCCTCCGCGCTCACCGGCCTGCTCATCACTACGCCTGCGCAGCCCATTCGCCAGCTCCCTTACTCGGCTCCAGATTCTCCTGTTCCCACTGCGCCTGCGCGGCACGCACTTGGCGGAAACGCCGTACCGGTTTATGTTGGAGCCGGCTTCCGATGGGCGTAAGGCTGAGCGTTCGGAGAGGACTCTGAAAGACCGATCAGAGGTATGGCTGGCTGGGAGAAGGAGGGTGGCGATTCGAGGTCCTAGTGAGGCATCATCCTTCCCGCCCTGAAGGTCGGTCCTAGTGTCGTCACCCCGGAGCTTGTCGTGGGGTGACGCCTGAGGCGGTGCAGCAGGATCGCTGCTGACATGTTTCGAGGTGGCACTTGGCAGCCCCCGGGTGATGACATCCCGTTCTAATTACTTGCATTCATTCTGAAAGTGATGATTCCCGCCCCCAGCCGTCTAGCTACCTCGTATTCCGAAGTATTGGGTTTTACAAGTTGCTTAGTGAGCAAGCATTAAAGCAACAGGTGTCAGGGCACCACGTTGGGCACCTTCGAAAGCTTCTTCAGCGCCTGAAGCCTACCAGCGATAATAATTTATTTTATTGCAAGTGGAAAGCATCATCCTAATCCTCAGGATGCAAAAAAGTAATATCAAATTGGAGATCGTGTAAAAGCAGAAATTCAGATATTTAACTTTACTTGCAGTTGCATTGAACAAAATTTGTATGTTTTTATAGCATTTGCAACCTTTGTTACTATAAACTCACCAGAATCGATGCTCTCAAACTTTTCCTCAACAAACGGGACTATCGATTCTGGTGAGTTTATAATAACGGTGTATTTTTAGGCAACGGTGTGAAAAACATATATATCTTAAAATAACTGTAAACACTGATAACAGAGTTTGCAAATGCTATAAAAACATACAAAATGCACCTATTCTTAAAGATTCAGAGCCTGTTTCCTAATTTACTTCATTTTACATGCATTGTACTATGTACTATGCACTATGCACCATCGAGTACCCACTTGAAGAGTGCAGGTGGTGAAGTCAGTTATGCAAACCAGCTCCAGCAGGGGATGCAGTTAACGAAAATCAGTTAGAAATGTCAGGAGATACAGCCCCAGGTGGGCTTATCTTGATCTCACCCACTGGGTTAGTTGGGTTTTCTCTGTCAAAAATAAGACTGAGAAGGGAAGTTGTCTTTTCATCCTTGAGCTAGGAATACTTGCTGTGAATCATTGCCAGTGCAGGCAGATCCAAACTGGCAGCCAGTTTTGCTGGTGTCAGTGTTCATCCAGCCCAGTTCCCACCTCCATGTGCTTTCCCACAAATCACTTGTAAACATCTAGTAATTAGTTCTACAAACAAATCTGCATTATACTTGTCACTGATAGCACAAATTACCACTTGATGTGAAACCTGTCTTTGTGGGGTGGGGAAGTGGAAGGTGAGGATTTTCATAATTCCCACTGCCTGGCCAGATGCTGTTGTCAAAAATCACTCGATAAAGCACGATTGTGACTCCTGGAATTATGCATTTCGAGTGAGATCACTTTTAGAAAACTTGCTTGACTCTTATGTAATATAAGCCACGTTAAAGTAACTGACAAAGATCCCCATAGAACCTTCAAGGATATTTAAACAGCAGGCAAGTTTCATACACATGTAACCATGTTAGGAAACATTATGGACCCTACTCAGTTACTTCCTTGATTTTAGATGTCTTTGGTGAAAGGGTGGAAGTTGTTAGGGTTAGGATTTTAATTTTCTTTTTGGTAAAGCACTTAGCATGTTATTGTAGCTTGCTCACATATAACCCTTTGTTCTTTATAGAACCTATGTTCTGCTGTCTTAAAGCAGAAGCACACTGTATTGGCCATAGCATACTGCCTGCTTATATGTAGGCACTGAACATTTGGGAAGTAGAAAGCACAAAGACATTTAATAATGAGTTGATGTTTGTGTATCTGTGATAAAAATAGGTAAAAATGAGGCTGTTATGGGGAGAGGACTTGCAGTTGGGTTTTGAATGGCAGAAGTTGTATCATAGCCATCAGTGAGGGAATGCAGACATGAGCTCTGTGGGGCTGCAAGAAAGGGATAACTATTGTTTGTTTTTGTCAGTCATGATTTGGATTTCAGAATGCCTAAGGATTCAGTTTCCAGTTCAACGAGCAAGTGATGTTTTTTAAACATCCATGGCAAGTAGTTTGCTTTGAGCGTTGTATAATTATCCAAGAAAGAAGAAACATAAAAAGTCTTTCCTTGGAGTCTGAGAAATAAAGTTGATGTTATCTGACTTGATTTTCATTATTAGAAATGATATTTTTGTGCTCTGTGCTAAATAATTAGGAGATAGAATACAAGTGATTGTTAGCATTTAAGGTAAATTGGTGACTGGAGAGATGGCTCAGCAGTTAAGAGCACTGGCTGCTCTTCCAGAGGACCTGGGTTCAATTCTCAGCACCCACATGGCAGCTTTCAACTGTCTATGATCTGGCACCCTTGCTGAAACATACATACAAGCAAAAATGTCAGTGCACACAAAACATAAATTAAAAGGATAAATTGGTAGTCAGTTACAGGAAAAGAAGTGGTGAGACATGATGGGAAATGCTTGTCAGGGCAGAAGAAAAAGCAGCCACACATGGATCCATTTATTGCACTGACCTGTTTTCCTTGAGTGAACTCTAATAGTTGTTGTGATCTAAATCACCTCTATAAGCCCATTGTTTTAAATATTTGTAGATTGCAACTACCACTTAAAGTTACTCTCTTTTTGCTTTATCAGTTCAAATCAGAAGATTTGCTGTTGCTTCTATGGCTACCTCACAAACTTCACAAACTGTTGCAGCTCATGTCCCCTTTGCGGATTTATGTTCCACATTAGAACGAATACAGAAAAGTAAAGAACGTGCAGAAAAGATCAGGCACTTTAAGGAATTTTTAGATTCTTGGAGAAAATTTCATGATGCCCTTCATAAGAACAAGAAAGATGTTACAGACTCTTTTTACCCAGCAATGAGACTTATTCTTCCTCAGTTAGAAAGAGAGAGGATGGCTTATGGAATCAAAGAAACCATGCTTGCTAAGCTTTACATTGAATTGCTGAATTTACCAAGAGAAGGCAAGGATGCCCTGAAGCTCCTGAATTATCGAACACCTAGTGGAGCTCGCACGGATGCTGGGGACTTTGCAGTGATCGCATACTTCGTTTTGAAGCCAAGGTGCTTACAGAAAGGAAGCTTAACTATACAGCAGGTAAATGAACTCTTAGACTTAGTCGCCAGCAATAATTCTGGCAAAAGAAAAGACCTAGTGAAAAAGAGCCTCCTTCAGTTAATAACCCAGAGTTCAGCCCTTGAGCAAAAATGGCTGATTCGTATGATTATTAAGGACTTGAAGCTTGGTGTCAGTCAACAAACTATACTTAACATTTTTCATAATGATGCAGTTGAGTTGCACAACGTCACCACAGACCTGGAAAAGGTCTGTAGGCAGCTACACGACCCCGCTGTAGGGCTCAGTGATATCTCTATCACTCTGTTTTCTGCCTTTAAGCCAATGCTCGCTGCTGTAGCAGATGTGGAACGCGTGGAGAAGGACATGAAGCAGCAGAGTTTCTACATCGAAACCAAGCTGGACGGGGAACGCATGCAGATGCACAAAGATGGGTCGGTGTATCAGTACTTCTCCAGAAATGGCTATAACTACACTGATCAGTTTGGTGCATCTCCACAGGAAGGCACTCTCACCCCATTCATTCATGATGCGTTCCGGACAGACGTGCAAGTATGCATCCTCGATGGTGAGATGATGGCCTACAACCCGACCACACAGACTTTCATGCAAAAGGGGGTCAAATTTGATATCAAAAGGATGGTGGAAGATTCCGACCTACAGACATGTTACTGTGTTTTTGATGTGTTGATGGTTAATAATAAGAAGCTAGGGCGTGAGACTCTGAGAAAGAGGTATGATATCCTTAATAGTACTTTTACACCCATCCAAGGTCGAATAGAAATAGTACAGAAAAAGCTAGCTCAGACGAAGAACGAAGTAGTAGATGCATTAAACGAAGCCATAGATAAGAGAGAAGAGGGCATCATGATCAAACACCCTCTGTCCATCTACAAGCCAGACAAAAGAGGTGAAGGGTGGCTAAAAATTAAACCAGAGTATGTCAGTGGATTAATGGATGAATTAGACCTCCTAATTGTGGGGGGCTACTGGGGGAAAGGTTCACGAGGTGGCATGATGTCTCACTTTTTGTGTGCAGTGGCAGAGAAGCCCCCTCATGGTGAGAAGCCATCTGTATTCCATACTCTGTGTCGTGTTGGGTCGGGATACACCATGAAAGAACTCTATGATCTTGGCTTGAAATTGGCCAAATACTGGAAGCCCTTTCATAAGAAATCCCCACCGAGTAGTATTTTATGTGGAACAGAGAAGCCGGAAGTCTACATTGAGCCCTGTAACTCTGTTATTGTTCAGATTAAGGCAGCAGAGATTGTCCCCAGTGACATGTACAAGACCGGCACCACCTTGCGCTTCCCACGTATCGAGAAGATCAGAGATGACAAAGAGTGGCATGAATGCATGACTCTGGGTGACTTAGAAGAGCTGAGGGGGAAAGCATCTGGGAAACTTGCCACAAAACACCTTCACGTAGGTGACGATGATGAACCTAGAGAAAAGAGGCGGAAACCTGTCTCCAAAATGAAGAAAACCATTGGAATTATTGAACACTTGAAAGCGCCTAACCTTTCTAACATAAGCAAAGTTTCCAATGTATTTGAAGATGTTGAGTTTTGTGTTATGAGTGGGTTGGATGGTTATCCCAAGTCTGACCTGGAGAACAGAATTGCAGAATTTGGTGGTTATATAGTGCAGAATCCAGGCCCAGACACATACTGTGTGATTGCAGGCTGTGAGAACATAAGAGTGAAAAACATTATCTCTTCAGATCAACATGATGTTGTCAAGCCTGAGTGGCTTTTAGAGTGTTTTAAAACAAAAACGTGTGTGCCATGGCAACCCCGCTTTATGATTCACATGTGCCCATCAACAAAGCAGCATTTTGCCCGTGAATATGATTGCTATGGCGATAGCTATTTTGTTGATACAGATTTGGATCAACTGAAAGAAGTGTTTTTAGGAATTAAGAAAGCAGGTGAGCATCAGACTCCGGAAGAGATGGCCCCTGTGATTGCTGACCTAGAATATCGTTATTCTTGGGACCACTCTCCTCTCTGTATGTTTCGACACTGCACTGTTTATCTGGACCTGTATGCTGTTATTAATGACTCGAGTTCCAAAATCAAAGCAACGAGGTTAGATGTGACAGCACTTGAGCTGCGGTTTCATGGAGCCAAGGTAGTGTCCCACTTATCTGAGGGGGTATCTCATGTAATCATCGGGGAAAATCAGAGCCGAGTTTCGGACTTCAAAGTTTTCAGAAGAACTCTTAAGAAGAAGTTTAAGATCCTTCAAGAACGTTGGGTGACTGATTCAGTAGACAAGGGTGAACTACAGGAGGAAAACCAGTATTTGCTTTAGAGCTAGCTATGTAGGCAAAGCATTGGCTGTATCAGAACAACAGCAGGCTATCCATCATGATGAAATGGCCAGTACATTCATTTTATCTCTTCAGTACTTCAAAAGCATTAGTTACCCAAAGACAATAATTTTCAGGTAGAAAAGAAATGGAATGGGCCAAAGCTAAAACAATATGTTTCCTAACATGACTTATAACCATGACATACAATGACAGTTCCCAGAGGTGCTTGTGTGGTTGGTACCCATGTGGAAGCTAGAATTTTAATTCGGATTTTAGTAAAGTGTATTCAGAAGCTTTTGCAATCATCCAACAGAATTTTCCAAAGTTAAAATTTGTAATTGTTTTAGCTAATAAAAGAATTATTCAAAAAACTCAGAATTGTTATGGTCAGACTTATAAAAATAAGTCTTTTGCCAGGCGTTGGTGGCACACACCTTTAATCCCAGCAATCAGGAGGCAGAGGCAGGTGGATCTCTGAGTTAGAGGCCAGCCTGGTCTCCTGAGTGAGTGCCAAGATAGGCTCCAAAGCTACACAGTGAAACCCTGTCTCAAAAAACAGAAAAAAAAAAGTCTCTTTTATTTGTGGGCTCAAATGCCTCCTTTAAACATGAAGTATTTTTAATAAACAGTTTTGTAAGGTTACAGCCAAATGAATTAATAAGTAGATTTTTTGATAATGTGGGAGAAGTTAAAAAAAGTATCATCTATACGCTGGACACTTTAGATGTTAATTGATTTGATTTAAAAAAGAGCCCTTGCAATTTTAAGTTATCTAGATTTAACTTTTCTGAAGGTAGGACCTGTTTCATAGAGAAATGTTTTTCATGAGTTTGCACTCCAGTATTAACAGAGCTCACAAACCTTGTCTCCTCTCGATGTTCCTCCGAGGAGCTGCCCATACAGTGAGCAAGTTGTGACTTCATTAGAGACAGACCAGATGCTTTGACTTTTGGAGCTGGCCTTTATAATTAGGTTGAAGTCACAGTTGTGTGTATTGTATCTGTGTTCAGAAATGTACTTCCATGGCAGCACTGAAATGGAGAGAGTGTGGGACCTAAGGTAATGGTATAAATTATTTGAAGTAATTATACTTGTTTTTGAAGCAATTGAATAAATGTTTGTGATTATTATTTAAATAAAATTATTAAATATTTAATGTAATACCAAAATAATTTATGTTCTTTTATTTTAAAACAATTCATCATAGTTCTTTTATTCAGATTTTATAGAGTCATTATACTTTATGTCTTTGTGTGAGGTGGGGGTCCAGTAATGCCATTGTAAGCTCCCAAGTACTGACATCATAGACTTGAGCCATCACTCTCTGTCTGTATACTTGCAGACTAGCGTCAAAGTGTTCCTTCTGGAGTCATTGGGTTTTACGTTACCAAAGGAAGTGTAATGATTTAAGCTTGTACTTATAGAAGCATATTCCAAAGTGCATATGTAGTTGAAAGTTTATAATTTTCCTACTAAAGGTAATGGTTATTTATGTTATACATGATAAGGGAGCCATAAAGCCACCTTGTAGGGTACCAACACTAAAGCTTACTATACTTTCTTTTTTTTTTCCAATAAGTTATGAGAATATTTGCAGGCCACAAAAGTATACCTAATTACTTTTCATTGCCGCATAGTACTCCACTGAATTGCACTTAATGTACCTTATTGACCTGAGTCAGTATGTAAGTTAGCGCCTCATATTCCATTCACATTTTTTTTCCTTGTCAAGTAGTGTGATAAATCTTTCACCTGGTTGGTGTGCTTGTGTGATGTCTCTAATCTTAGTTGTCAGTTTGACTGCATCTGGGATCAATTAAAACACAAGCTGCCAAAGGCACTCCTGTGAGGGGACCCTAAGGTGTAGGTGACACCTTGTAGCAGTCCAGATAAAAGGACATGGAAGATGGAAACTGCTTTTCCCTCACTGGAAGTTCACCTGTCCCTTACCTGCGTTAGAACCCACTCCTTCAGTAGCCTCACATAAATTGAAGACCATCAGTCCAGGAGTCCTCTGGGCCTCCGGTGCCAGACAGGCGCTGCCTAGACATCCAGCTTCATGAACCAAACGACATCTAGATTCACAGTCTTCAGTATGAGGGGGCCATTGTTGGCCTACAAGAAACATTTCCTATACTTCAGTCTAATAAATCCCTTTTCGATACATGTATTTCTCTTGTCCATTCTGTTCCTTTGGAGAACCCTAACTGGTACAGTGAGTCCAAATGCTGGCTCCAGGTCACACTAACTGGTTCAGTGAGTCCCAATGCTGACTCTGAGTCACACTAACTGGTACAGTGAGTCCCAGTGCTGGCTCCAAGTCACATTTTTTTTTTTCTCAATTACTTGCAAGAGTGTTGAACAACCCTAGTGAAATGCTTTCATTGTTTCCTCTTTTCCAAGTCTCTGTTTGTTGGTTGAGTTGCTCCCAGCCAGACCTACTTTGATTTTATTGACTCAGGGAGTTCTGTCCCCTGGCTTTAACTGTCACAACAGCTCCAGTTTGTTATACAACACCTTAATGTGAAGTCTGATAGGTCTCTTGTGATGGTTCATAGATTGCCAACTTGGCAGGATCTAGAATCACCCACAAGGCACACTTCTAGGAAACCCAGTGAGGGATTATGTAGATTAGCCTAGCCTCTGGGCATGCCTGTGGGAGATTTCCTTGATTCCTCAATTGGAAGTCAGAAGATTACCCTAAATGTGGCAGCCCTGATTTGAGGGGGTCCAAGGGAAAAGCACTTGCTTTGTGACTGCTTGCCTTTGCTTCTGGATGGAGTCCTGCTGCTGCTGCCACCGCCACCACTGCCTCCACCACCAATCCACCTCCTCCATATTTCCTGACACCAGAACCCACCTTTTTCAGCCTTCCAATGTGGCATGAAGACCAGTAGCTCTCCTGAGCCTTCCAGGCCTGCTTACATTCAGGTCTCTGTTTTCTCTACTCACTCCTCACCATGAGGATCTCTTTGCCTTATTTTTCCAGGCACTGCCCTCCTTGCTGGCTTATTTCCTAACTTCAGAATAGAGACCCCAAGATGGAAGCCGCTGGTTTGTTTGTTTTAGTTACAATCAGCCCCAGATCTTTCTGGAATAAACACACTGAAACACAGCAACCTGACTCTGCTCTTATCCTCCCAGGCCAAGGTCTCTCCCCAGATGCCTTCACTAGGAGCTCCAACCTTTGCTGTCCCCATGACCCAGAGCTGCCTAGGAAGAATTCTTTGTTTACTTGGACTTAGGGTACTGTCTTTGAAAGTTGGGTTTCATCACACTTGTGCTTTGCCTGGGATCTGAGAATAGAGCTATGGACCCAGCAACTCTTTGCATGGGGATAAATACTTGGAGTTACCCTGGAAAGCTGTGTAGGGCCAGGGGAAGAACAAAGGAGCTGTGGTCTGGCAGTCCTGGAAGCTATCCCAGTCCTGACACTGATTCTAGTATTTCAGATGAACATGGAACCAATTATTCCACCCGAGGGAGGGCAGAATAATAGCACCTAGCATATCCTGTGGTCTCTCAAGCTTTCATCTGCTGCTCCTACTCAGGCCCTTTGCAGTGGGGTTGATTAACCCCAATTGAGTATATTTGGGAAGAAAAATAGAGTTTCAGCAGTATGGTGGTGTGGATGGACTTCCATAGTGAGAGGAAGAGAATACAAAAACAAGCAAACAACAACAACAACAAAAAAAAAACAGGGAAGAAACAAATCTACATGGAGATAATTTAAAATACATTCATTTGGGTTTGAAGGTACAACTTAGGGTAGATTTAAAAGATCTTTGGTTCTACTTTACAAAATGTAGAAAGTACTGGTTACTTGAGGCAAGTATATTTTATTTATGTTTTAGACTATTTACTTATATTTGAGACTGGCTTGCATAGGCTGCTCATGTTTGATGCATGAAAGTGGATTAGCTCAGAGGTAGATTGCACTTGTAAGATTCCCCACTCGTAGTACCTTCTCCACATTTACCTTGAGAAGTCACCTACCTACTCATTAATTGGTTGATCTCCCTCTATGCGTATTATTTGATCATTCAAAACCAGGAATTCTTCTGAGCTCCGGGTACTATTCTAGTTGCCAGGAAAAGGGCAATTCTCAAACCGGGAAACCCCTGCCTTGGTTGAGGCTCTGTGCTGTTGACTAAGGGGAAAGAGACCACTGCTGCTTCTCAGGACAGATCTCTACTAAAGGGAAGGCACTTGGAGAGGAATCGGAAGTGATCCAAAAGGGAACATACATAAGCAGAAATGGAGAGTCAGAAACATAGGAGGGAAAACAACAATTTTCAGAAAGCAAAATACTATTTTTTCATGTTAAAGAATTTGACTTTTCATTCCAAATGTCTAGAGAAGCCCAGCTCAACCACAGATTAAAAAAAAAAAAATCCAAAAAACCACAAAGTGCTGGGGCTCAGGACACAGCAGTTGCCATCAGGTTTAGCATCAGAACGGCATTCCCGTGGGTCACAATTGTAACCCATGTAACTGGAAGATGGCTGAGTCGGTGGACTGCATGCTCAAGCATGAAGACCTAAGTTTGAATCCCTGGCATCCACAACATCTGGGAATGGTTGTTCATGCCTGTACTCCAAGTACTGTGAGGGACAGAGATAGGAGGGTCACTACATCATGCTGGCCCGAGACCTAGCTCCAGGAAACAACCAGAGACCCTGTCTCAAGGAAATGTGATTCATAGTGATGTTTTTTTTATTTATTTCCAACTGTGATGGATATTTTGGTTGTCAACTTGATGACTTCTAAAATTAACTGAAACCCAAAATGGTTGGGCACACCTGTGAGGGTTTTTTGCTTAATTAAACCATGTGAAGTGGGAAGGTAAAATTCTAATTTGAACCTTTGAGGTAGAAAGACCCACCTTTAGTCTAGACTTTTTGAGGAGGGAAGATCAACCCTTAATTTGGATCACACCTTTTGTTGGAAGCCTATATAAAGGATATGGAACAGAGTCCATTACCCAAAGAGGGATACTCTCTCAGCCTAGACACACGGGGCAGGGGGCCTAGGCCCTACCCCAAATGATGTGACAGACTTTGATGATCCCCCATGGAAGGCCTCACCCTCCCTGGGGAGCAGAAGAGGGATGGGATGGGGGTTGGTAGGGAGGATAGGAGGATGGGAGGGAGAGAAACCTGGGATTGATATGTAAAATAAGATTGTTTCTAATTTAGATGAGAAAAAAAAAGACCTATTCACAGCATGTAAGTCATTGTAATAGCCCCCCTTTCTATAAATATAGAGATTCATTCTGTAGGTTCTGTTACTCTAGAGAACCACGACGAAAACACCAACTTTTTTTTATAATACAATGAAGAAAAAGATTCAGCATGATAAGTCAGGGTACCCGATGTCCTTTGGCCTCTGCTCATGGGTACATGCACACTTGAACAGTAGCACACACACACCCAAGCTTTTACTCTACACAAATACAAAACTACCATTGCAATCTGTGACTTCGAAACAAACTTAAAGATTCTTTGAAAGATAAGTAAAACAAAAGAATGACATTTCAAAATTTAACAAACAATGTGTCAGAATTCAGGAATTAGGTTTAAAAAGAGATGAGTGCACAACTCCAACCACCTAACTCCTGACCTAGGGGAAAGCATTTCATACATGAATCTTTGGGATTCAGTATGCTTAACTGCAGGGCATATTGAATCACACAGAGTGTGAAAAGAACTTGATCTCTATATTAGTGTTCACTGGAGGAAGGGAGGGACTGGAGCCTCTTATTCCACCATCTTGACAATGGGCCTTTAAAAGGCCATCTGTCTACTCTCCGTCCTTGGTCACTCTGTAGGATATAAGTGGTAAACTTTGAGGTTCTTCACAGTATTCACATTGTGGAATGTAAGGCGTTTCCTACTAGCCTTGAGCTATTGATTAGTGTGACTTGTTTTCATTATGGGGTTTTGAGATTGATATCAGCAGTTTGGTATGGACTAATCCAGAGCAGGAGAGAGGATCCTTGTTACATTGGATTTCTCACAATCTGGCTTTTAGGACTCAGGCCTAAAATAATCCTCAGAGGCACCTGTGTGAACACAAGCTTGGTTTCCAGTGTAACAAGGTTCAAAAGCAGACTTTGGGAAGTGACTGGATCAAGGGTCTCTGACCTTATCAGTGGATTA